GTCTTGGGTCGATATGTTAAAGATCAAAAGGATATCCTGGAAGTTGGATGGCTTCCAGTTAACGAAAGAAGAGACCTTAACATCCTGAAATCGAGTTTCAAAGCCATGTACTTCCCAAAGTGGCCAGAGTATCTAAAGCTAGAACGACAAACTTGCGTTCGAGAACTGCGCTCAACCAATGCAGTTAGACTAGTCGTGCCAAAAGAAACTGGAACGTTTCAACATAGTGCTGCGAAACTTTTTAATTCCTTACCTGAGAACATCAGGAATTGTACTAATTACAAAGTATTTTTAAAATTAACTAAAGAACTTTTATTCGAAAGAGCACGCCAAAACTAGTTTTTAATCCGAACATCGATTTTATCTAATTTCAACACTTAAACGTTATAGTCCATGGTTATAGAATAGAATAGAATATAGTATTTAATTAGTATTTTAACAGGGAAGAGCCATATGTATGGATCTGTTGAATAAATCGTTATTATTATTATTATTATTATTATTACTTTGAGTACATATTTCTAATATGTCCCACATACGAATGGAATAAAACATATCAGGACTGGAAATACAATGGGGATAAGGACTTTATAACCATGCCCTGTGGGCAGGATGATGTAAACCAATGTTTAGAATACGTTTCACATTTTGCAAAAGGAACAAATAGCCTCATTGTTCTCGACGACTGTGCTAGTAGTCAATCCGTTAAAAACAGAACCAGCGAATTGGTAAAACTCGGGTTCAGCGCTAGACATATTGGAATATCGACCATTGTCATTACCCAACAACTAACATCCACTGCGAAACCCTATAGGGAAAATATATCCAAACTCGTAACCTTTTACAACCCAAGCGCAAAGGATACGGACATCATATTGAACAACTACCTTGCAAACACAGAAAAAGAAGAAAGGAAGGAAATCATTAATACGCTAAAAAACAAAAACAACGACTACGCCAGGTTGGAAATACTATTACGCCGACCCTATCCCACAAAACAATTATTCCGCATATTAAATAAAGGAATGGAAACCATATTCGAATTGTAGAACCTGAGACACCTGTCGCAAGCGATCTGAGGGAAAAGCTACTGAAGCTGGTCGATGCAGGTGAAATTAAGTACACCTCAAAATATATAAAAAAGCATCCGAAAAGACGTTGGAAAACATATACAAAGACTACGAAAGACAACGTCTGGAGAATACAAACAACCAACTAGCTGACGTCATCATTACCAAGTTTTCCGAACTCATGCAGGCAGTGGACGCTGTTAAGGATGCCGAAGGAATGAAAAAAGAGCTCGAGGAAAACGATCTGCTTAGAAAAGACATAAAAAACCTCGTCAGTTACGTAACACCGTACATCCCACTCATTGGATTACTAAGTGGTGGAATCACCGTTGGAAAACATGTGATCAGTACAAAAGCAGGTTGTTCGGAAAAGGAAGAATAAAGGTCAACAGTTTATAGAAAAACTTTTTTATATTAAATAAAAAAGTAATGCATACCTACAGGAAAGTCCAACTGTACTTCGAATGTTCCGAAGAAATGACGGAGTTCATTTCAGAAATGTGTGAAGACACGAACTTCATAGACGCCGGCATTAACGTCACGGACCGGGGAGGCAGTAGGGAGGTAGACGCTAGGTTTTGGCTCGCGGGGAAAACGGGACTTATAATCATGGGCGTGAATGCGATGCCCTTCGGTCCACCGATAGGTGTCATCGCTTTCCTCACCGTACCGGAAAATGTGGTGCTTGGGGAAATAGATAACTTCACGCTAGACGGTTCCGGGTTTGGCATTAATTTGGGACGACCCAACGATTCCGCAGAGTCGTGGGTGTTTTCCATACCATCCTTGCGTTCCCGCTCCTACGGAATGGGAAATCTGTTCAGGATACGGTGGAAAGACCGATCGGTTATGCCTGTCGAGTACGGGAACAGCTTACCTGTCAGCGGTGCTGATGCTCTTTAAATTTTAGTGTTCTTACAAACATTAAAATTGGTTCTAACAAGATTTCTGTATCCGATTAATCCCGTCGTTGTAGAAGCCTCTTCCTCGGTGCTTTGGGTTTTTCCTCCAGTATGTTTGCCTCATGTAGCTTCACCTGGATGGAGGTTACGCTTTTAGACACATAGATGCTCTCGATTTTGACGATAGCATCAAGACGGAACCTCTTGCCCTGATATTTCTTGTGGTCTACGGGTTCGTCCCCTTTCGGAGGGTAAATTTCTGTTTCGTTGTCGATCTTTACGTATAGGGTTGGAGCGTTACCCTTCCGGTAAAGACATTTCATGATGTTTTCACCTGGATTACCAACGTGATCCGCGGACTCCTTTTCGACCAGTTCCAGGGCTGACACAAACTGCTTTTTATCCCTCAGGGCTAGGGAGATGGAGTAATTGTCCTTACCGAACTTGTTGGTCTTGCTCACCCCGTAGGACAAGCAGTCCTCAAGTTCTAGTAGAAGTGGACCCTGATCTCGTGCCGTTAATTTAACCTTTTCGGACCCGTAACTGTTTCCGACGGCATCTTCGAAAGCGAACGAGTCTTTGGAGAATTCTGAGACTTTGGTAATGGACATCCTTTTTATATAGAAAAAAAATTTTTAATTTTTTTTTTTTACCTCCGGTATGACTCAAAAGTCAGTTCAGTTTTCCAGACCCATAAGGTTTGGAACAACAATGCAAACATGACGGCTCCAAGTCCAAGTCCAAATCCAACATCTCCGAAACACTGGGGTAAATGCTACCCTTTTTATTATATAGAAAAAAGTTTTTAAAAAAATTTTAGGAATGATTATTTAACCGGAAGTGACGTCATAGGTCACGTGATCCAAAACATACGCAATGGAAGACTTATTGAAGACTTCCCAAGGCGGGGGTGGTGGGGTTTGCGCATGCGTGGTGAAGTTTTTGGGTAGGCTTTGGGTAGGCTTTGGGTAGGCTTTGGGTAGACTTTGGGTAGACTTATATAAAGCTTATGTAAGGCTTATGTAAGACTTATGTAAGGCTTCGGCAAGACTACCCACAGTGTGGGGCGGCGGGGGGCCTGTAACGTCATTGGTCAATAACCCGGAAGTGACGTCATAGTTACGGGCAAGTCTGGGCAAGTCTTATTGCGGTGGACTGGGGGTGACGTCATCGGGATGCGCGGGAGGGGTGCGTAAATCCACTATAATTTGTATAACATGAAGTATTAAGCTAGTGGCCCAGAACCCGCCATTCCCTATTACTCTAGTCGAGTTAGATGGACTAGGAGATCTATGCTGCTGAGAAGGATTTCCTTTCTTTTCTGTAGTCATAGATGTTTCGTGATTTCCTCTTTCGACACCTGCAGAGAATGCCCATCTCTTGTTTCATCTTTACCAGGTAAGTCATCTTATAGGTATGTCATTTGCCGTATTTGGAACGTATTGCCGCAATGGGTTTTTAACCTCTTAATTAATATGTCACTATCTTGGTGAACTAGTCGTAGAGCCATCGTACGTAGGACTGGACTTTTCGTTTTCAAGTTCAATAACCTTGGCTCTCAATTCCGACGTAGATTGGTATAAGTTCAAATATTTTTTTTCCAATTCTTCATTCTTTCTATTAATTTTTCCTTCTTTAGCTCGTAATTGACATCTTCTAACACTAGTATAGAGTACGGTTTGTTTTCTTTAGTAGCATATACTTTATCGGCAAGAACCTGCAGTTTTATATTAACGATCTCAGTAAAGCTATCCAACTTCGATCTTAACTGGTTCATTTGTGAGTCAATTTTATATAATACCTTACTGATTTCTGATTGTTTAATTGGCTGTTTATGGTCACGTGATATTGAATAGAAAATTCCGTTTCCCAAGAGTGCACACTCTTTGCGAGTGCAATTGTACTATACGTTTTATTCCATTGCACTCTTTGTGTTTTCGATAAATCGCATTCGTCAAAATGCTTCTCATACGAATATATTAGTCTATTTTGGTGTTATATAATAAAACAAATAACAAATGTTTATTCGTGCAATGGTAAGAATATTTTCATTCGGTGAAAGATGGAATGTTCGATTCTACTCGGCTGTCGCCTCGTTGAATGGAACATCGATCCCATCTTTCACCTCATGAAAATATTCTTACCATTGCACTCATAAACATTCATTTTTTGTATATTGGACGATACATTAGTTTTCGGGTTATCGTGTTGTGACCCGGTATGCAAATGACTGTTTGTTGATTCCAAGTCCGCATGCAAATTTTTTGCATTAGAGAGTTTTATTTAGATCGACGTTTACGGCAAACGGCTAACGGAGTTTTTTATTTTACAACCTATTATAACAGCTTTTACACCAGTTCTAAACTATAAACAATAATTAAACTTGTGCTCTTTAGCAATGATTTAAGAAAGCAAATTAACCACTAGTCACTTAGTCACCGGCAAAATCAGTAGATTAAAATCTGGCGTTTGAAGTTTACGTTTGGCGTATAAATTTCATGCTTGAACTGCTACGAGAGCTTGCATAGTCGTTAAAGCATGAAATTTGCACGCCAACCGTGAACTTCAAACGCTCAATCTTAATTTACTGCTTTCGCGAAACACGACTAGAGTAAATTTGTTTTCTCAAATCATTGCCGTTAAATACCACAAGTTTAATAATTGTTTAATATATTTCAAAACTGGTGTAAAAGCTGTTATAATAGAGTTGTAAAATCAAAATCTTCGTTAGCGGTTTGACGTTTGCCGTAAACGTCAATCTAAAACTGTCTATTATTTGTGCATTGTAGCATCACTTCGCTGCCCAAATCCTGGTGGAGTTTAATTTTTTATTTTATTTTTAACTTCACCTGCTCTCTCCCCTTTTAGAGTTATGGCTCTCGTATTCGAGTACCATCGTATCGCTACTTCACCGTTTTCAAAAAGTTTACAGTTACCTCCTCGTGTTGACCAACTGTAGTTGTAGATCATCAAGAAATTGACAGAGTTCATTGTAGTCGCCTTGTCATTTTAAATTTCCCTTAGGCTTCTTCGCGGCCAAAACATTGCCTTCAGACAATCTACTCGAGTCTTCATTATTTAATACTGCGCCACAGTTGCTATTTTCCAGTTCGATGTTGTCGAATATTTGGCCTCGCTGTTTGTCGTTGTAAATAGATCTTTGTTTAAAACGGACATTCTTAATCTGTATATAATCGGTAAAATGCGATAGAACAACGAAATTTTGAAAGAGATTTTCAAATTTTATAAAGTTAGCCGAGCTACAAAATGTACCTCCTCTCGCAACCAAATATGTCTAGATATGTAACCTGCCATGCAGATATGTAAACTGCCATGTAACCAATGTTCGCCTTATACGAAATATATCCATAGTAATTAAATGTTCAATATTAAGTCGGTTATAAATTTAACTAATCAAAAAAATATTAAATTGTCATCGTTAGCGAAACCATACCTCTATAATATAGTACCCGAAGAGTCGGTCTTCTATGCTATAGAACGTCGTTCTTCGAATTCGTGCTTTTCACAGCTTGTTATATCAACATCCTTGTTGTCGATCAATTGTCGCGACTGACTAGTGATGGGCGATACCGAGTACTCGGTATTCGATACCAGCGATACCACAAACAGCGGTATCGGTATCGATTACTGACCTGGTATCGTTCGATACTTGCACCCTTTTCTAATTAAATGACTTGTTTAATTTCACTTCTTGGTTGAATAAGATTTTATTACAAAAATAAGTGTGAATTTGGAAAAAATGTGGTTAATTGACAAAAATTTTAGGAAATTATGGAAAATTTTGGGATTTTAGGAAAAAAAAATTTGAGAAATGGGGAAAATTGCTGATGTCGGGAAAAATTTGGGTATGTCCGAAAAAAATATTTAACCCCTAAAATGGAACACTGACCGAAAATTTTTTGGCGACGGCTTTCCGCTGACCGGCAGGTATCGAAAGTAGCGATACTAGCAATATCAAACAGGTAAAGTCAACCACGTCTCTGGGCCTTCACATTGATGAGCATCTCTCATGGTCTGTTCATGTTGATGCCATTTCCAAAAAAATCGCCTCTGGCATTGGTGCGCTAAAACGCATCGGGCCTTTTGTTCCTCGTACAACTCTGCATACTATTTTTCATTCACTAATTCAACCACATTTTGACTATTGCAGTGTTGTGTGGGGGAATTGTAATAAAACTCTTGCTACTAAAATGCAGAAATTACAAAACTGTTCGGCTAGGGTTTTAACATTTTCCGGCTATGATATTAATGCTGATGGTCTTTTTCAAGACCTTGGATGGGAAAACCTTGAAACACAGCGCCAAATTCATCAGGCTATTATGGTCTATAAGTCGATAAATGGTTTGGCTCCTGAATATCTTCGTTCAAAATTTGTTGATCGTAGCTGTGTTTCGGGTTATTCTCTTAGGGACACTGTTGGCAAACTTGCTGTTCCTTTTCCTCGTACTAACTACCTAAGAAACTCCTTTAGTTATAGTGGTGCAGTAACATGGAACAGCCTTCCTGTTGAGTTGAGGCAAGCTAATTCTTTAAATTCGTTTCGATCTGGCTGTAATAAATTTCTCTCTTCTCGATCTTAATACCTAATTAATGCACGGCACTCATGTAAAGCAGGTTTTTCTTTTGTCATTTCTTAGTATGAATTTATATATTGTGTTATTTATATTGTAAGTAGTGTGCTATTAGTTTTATGCATAATTTTGTAGATTTATTTATATACATAGCTATATGTATGTAATCTTAATCCTGATGAGTACACCGTGGATAAATAAAGTTACCTTACCTTACCTTACCTTCATTTCCGGTATCGAAAATTGGAAATTTGTGTTCATTTTGGTATCGAAATAGGTATCGGTATCGGCCGATACCGATCTTAAAAGTATCGGTATCGGTATCGAATTAAAAATTCTGGTATCACCCATCCCTATGACTGACCTACCTCCTCCGCAGGCCATACTCGTAATGAGTATGCCCGTTCGCAGGTTGAAATTTGAAATTTGAGACGAAGGCTTGCGTAGCTGTAGGGCCTACCTGCTGAATAACATGCGGTTGGATCAAATTTCTTCAAAAATATGGCACATCGTCTGACAATCTTTAGCAATCCTGTTTTGCGAGTATTTTCTAAATACATCTTGGCTGTTATGAGGGTCCTGAAGGGGGGGGGGTTCTAATCCCATTTCCCACCTGAAATTTTGGAAAAATCCCAGTCCCAGTTGGATTTTTATTAGAAATCCCAGTCCGAGTTATTGAAATCCCAGTCAATGAAAAAACGTTATTTATCGGTAGAATTAACAGTTTTAAGATATTTTAAGCCACCGTGAGTGCACACCGTGTGGCAGAAGCGGTTGTGCTTTGCCTTTGAGGTATATACTAAGGGTTAGATGAAGTATATACCGGAAACCAGGCATATATTCCGCTGTGCATCTGACTTGGGGACATGCATAATCAGAAAACCCAGAATTCCGGGCGCTGGAGTATGCCTTAATATAGTTAACAACAAAAATCATGACCAAAGTCACCAAAAACGGATCAAAATTGTATTTTAAAATACTTAAAACGTGGAAAATTTGGAAATCGACTCGCATTACCTCAATCCCATTCCCATTTTTGAAGACTTCATTTCCCATTCCCAGTGACCAAATCCCAGTCCCAGCAACCCAAATCCCATTTTCCCAGTCTTAGAATAGATCAATCCCAGTTCCCATTTTACCCCTTCAGGACCCTCTGTTAAGGCGGATAAAAGCGACGAGGAGCTTCAAAGAATGGAAGGTTTTACAAGCAGAAGCGACAGTGATATAGACGTCGTGAATCAATCATTTGACCAAATGGGATGTTTTGACTATATACATGCACGCATTTAAATAGTTACACTGTATGAACGACGTGTTATATAAAAGCGTATTCGTCTGTTAGAATTTAATATGCAAATTAACTCATATTTACAGTGCTCCCAATTATCGAGCTTGCTACGGCACTGATTTATCTGCTTCTGTTTATAAATCAATGTGTACTTGTTTGTTCAGTTTTCACTGTTTTTAATTTGTATATTGAGGATACGAAAAGCGATCTATATCAGAAGTAGTTAAATTAAAAAAGACTTTAATAACTATATTGATCTGGTATAAATGATATATAAATATAATTTGGCTTGTGGCTTCCGCCATCTTTGAAAATTAATCCGCAGGCCATTCCGTTCGTTTCCCACCAATTTTATGTTTGGAGTTTTGAAAGGCCTGCGGAGGAGGTAGGCGACTGACTGCGTTTAGACGTGGGCGTATATAGGAAAACGCGGGCACGGACACATGGACAATTGGAAAAGACGCCGAGCACTTGCGGAAAAGACAGGCAGTTAAGCGCGGACACTTATGGGCACTTATGAAAATTGACCTGGCATTTTAGCTAATTCGATTAAAGTGCCTTTGACACGAAATTTCACCCCCAAATTATCTTTGCATTGCAAATATCACTTAAAATGACTTACAAGTAGTATAGGGAAGGGGGGTTCCGCGTCGGGTGGTGTGGGTGGTGCAGTAAAGCACCGCCCATGACGTCATCACAGTATAATTCCATATCGATTACACACGCTTATAATGTCATTAAAGCGGTAATGATCATAATTGCATTACGTTCTAACAAAACTTTAACCGTTTACTATTTTACTCTTTTAGTTCTCGCGCTTATAGCATCATTCTCATATATTCAGTATTTTATTCAACAACGTGGTATTTCATAATTAATCGAATAAACGTTGAAAACAGAACAACTCAGAACAACTCAAAACCTTGTCGGTTTTTATATATTAACAGTTGTTAAAGATGGCTCGGAGGGCCTTCTTTATGGCCTAATGGCCCGATTCTCTAAGTATGTCCGCTATCCTCAGGAGCCCACCCTCCCAACTATGACTACCCCCTCAATCATGAACCGTACTCATCACAGCTCAGTTTCTTCAAAATTCTCCCAAGAAAATGTAAAGGACAATAGAAATTGAGTATAAAAAGTGTATTTGAATCTTCACATTACAAAGCTTTATTCCATCATCTTAAAATGTCTTTTAACACCATATGTGAGATTTGTTACATAACTTATTTGCTAATTTTATAATGCCTATGAGCTAATGTGTGATCGTCTTCTAAAATGAAACGTTTATCATCATATGGACTTAAATCAATCTTATTTAACTTAATGGAGTGGATTTCATGACCATAACTGCGAATCTTATTCATGGAGGTTTTTGTCTGCTTCTTATCGAATAAGCAGGTTTTATAATTATCATGTCTTATCTTCTTCTTAGTCACCGATTTCTCTATCCCTTTACTCCCTTTGGCTGTCTTCTTCTCTACAAGCTTACTGTTCTCGGTGTATAGGATGGAGTACATCTTTGGTCTCAAACCAACAAATTCTTGAATTGGAATTCCAAGCGTCTCATCTTTCATTTTACCGAGAGTTTTCCTGTTTCGTGCACCATACAAAAGATGGTCTTGTGCGTATTCGGATGTGTCAAATAGCTCTGCGTCTTCCAGTATGTCTTGGTAGATATCACGGGTCTTCACTTCATAACATAGACTTTCCGTATTCGTAATGAAACTGGTACGTCAACACCTTTGAGAGATCCAGAATTGTAAATCCCACATAAATTGGACGACTTAACTAGAGTTTTGTCTTCTTCATATTCACAGCAGCGAGATCCGCAGAGAAGATGCGGAAAGAGTGAAACGATGGACGAGCAGTTAGTTTTGTCAGCTTTGTCTTATCATTAACCAACTTGACATTGACTCGCTCTCTCAGATTCTCCATGGTCTTTTCAACCACCGCATTATTCATCAGCTTGTAAAAATCTTTCTCAAAGTCATTCACAGCGTGTTTTCTTCTTTCTGTGTTGAAATCTATGTAGACTTTAAGCCATGGACTTTGTTGAAACACCAAGACTCTGTGAATTTCTGTCAGCTCCATTCCCAGCCTCAGATATAACTTCAGATTACGATAGTGAGCAATATACTTGGTCTTATCGTTGAGGTTGGGTACTAGTTTGGGGACTGCGACACTTCTAAATCATCCGAGAGCTGCTTGCAACAGGGTGATAGCATTTCAGGAGAATTTCATCTTTTCAGGAGCCAACGGATAGTCATTATGTAGATCATGTAACCCCTTAGGGTACTTTAAATCGACTTCGAGAATATAACCTTCCTCAGAGTCATCTGGAATTTGTGTGATGTCAAGGTTGGAGATCTCTTCTTCATTTAACCAATCGAATTCACCAGTTGGTAGAGGTTGTGACATAGCCCAGCCATAAAGATTATTAGCGTCGAGATACATCACGTAAGATGAGTCTTTATCAGGGTCATAGTACGGATTGTTCGCCTTACCGAAACGGTTACTTATCATGGATATTCCACCACGAAGCCCTTCTTCGATAAATAAATACATATCTGGATCAGTCAGTAACTCTAGCTCCACTTCTGTCATTTTTAGACAAGCTTGCCACGCCAATCCAGGACTTGTGTAAAAGTGACAAGGATCTAGATTGTATGCTTTTAAACAGACGTTTTGGAAGTTTTCAAATGCATCAGCAAGGAGCAGAACGTCCGATTTTAAGTACAAATCATAATAGTCTCCCATACTTTGGCAACTGAAAGCCTCGAAGACGCGAGTAGCGTGGTTGTAGTCAGCATCGGTAATGTGTTCATCATGTAGAACACTGTAGAAGCATTCTTGAGGAGGCAGAGTTTCTTTAGCAAACTTTTCCACACTATCCATGTAGTCATACGGATATACGCCTTTCCTCAGAAGCAAGGACACTTTCTCAGATTCAACATATCTCTGGAGGATTGGAAACATATCTGCGCCACTCTTTGAAAGATTAGACACCAACCGTTCGAGGGAAGCGTTCATAAACTGAAGTGAGTCAATAAAATCTAGTTTATCGATGGAGAAGGAAATATACTTTTCAATATTGTTGGGGATGCAGTTGATCTCCATATTCTTTAGCTTTCCAAGACCTTGCATAATCAGGTGGGAGTCATAACCACGAAGATTATGCAGAATGACAGGAATGCGTCCAGTAAAACCATATAGTTTAAGTTACATTCGTTGTGTGCGGCTCTACGGTACTTTCCTGTGAGTTCCTTTCAACAGGACGTTGAGCAGCAAGGATTGACCACATAAACTCATAAAGCACTTATTGTCGGAATTCTTGACGTTAATGATGGCTTTCTTAGTCTTCAACTTTTTCGGTAGAGGAATGTAACTGGAACCTTACAGTGGAGTATATTTGGCCATGTTCAGGTCTAAATGAAGTATTTCGTCCAACACCCAACCGCTTCCTTCTGTCCGATATATCGCCAAGGAATCGATAATTTTACTGCAAGCTTCTTGTATTTGTTTCTCCACATCGTGAACATTAACCGTTGTAGTACACAGACTGCGGAAATGCGGTTCACTGAATAGATCTTCACCGTCTACTTTGGGTTTGAGAAATCTCACTTTCACACTGATAAACCATTTCGATCCTTTTTTCATTTCCAGCTCTTTCGATAGATGAATAAGAATCGGTTTGGATTTAACACGCAGAAATTGGGACATATCATGCTTTTGATCCTTTCGCGGTTTCAGTTCAATTTTCTTCAAACTTTCCTCGAAAGCAGATGTAAGATTACACGGATCGTCATCACCATATGCCTATGGCCAATTTTATTGGAGGAGTGAGCTGTCTCATCAACTTTACTCCGTTTAGCCTTAGAAGTAGTGTGAACTGCATCATCAGATTTCCTCTTCGAGGTGTTTTCGTCACATACCACTCTATGTTCGACCAACTTATCACGACGATAAAACTCTTTCAGGCACTTATCGCATTTGTGGGTGACCAACTGCCGATGTTGCTGACCATGACGAATGGGGGCATCCATTCTTGTAAAGGACTTATAATAATAATAATAATAGTGGATTTATTAATACACGTTCAATAGCAAAAGGCTAAATTACAAAGTGTTTACATCGTCAGATATTAATTAGAATTAATTAGAATTATTACTTATTTAAAACTATTTACATCAATGGACCTATATGTATATTAAAATCGTTTATATATATATATATATATATATATATATATATATATGGAATTGTATAAAATGTATATAAGTCTTACTTTTCTAATTTAAAATTATATTCATTAATAGCATGAACTACAGGGCTGTTTCTAAAACGTTCAGTGTTGCAAAAAAAGTTATAAATCTTTTCACCATTTGTCCTAGTCTCTCTTTCCCTGATGTCACTCAGTTTCTTTGGCAATAGTCCGTGAAGTCTGTGTGATGGTTGTAACATGTTCTCAATTAAGGAGGCACATAAATTGTTTCTGCGTTCTTCTAAGGTCAGCAGATTGCTCTGAGATAATAGAAGTCCATAATCACAAAGGCCAGGATAAATTATTCTGAGGGCTCGTTTTTGGATTATTTCTATGTTTTTCTTATGCATTTGTGTCAGACCACCACTCCAGATTTGTGCACCATACTCCAGAACAGAACGAATTACTGTACAATAGAAAGCTAATAGGTCATTTTTTGGTGCACCATAACTCTTTAAGATCTTCAAGAGGTAAAGTCGCTTAGCGCCTTTTTTACAATATACTCAGTGTTGGTTTTCCATCTCATGTCATCGTCTATCCATATTCCTAACAATTTATACGACTTTACACGGAATATTTTATCGTCGCCAATATTAATCAGTGGTATTTCTGTTTTCTTCTTCCGAAAATCAATTAGCATTTCTTTACATTTTTTCCCATTCAGTTCCATACTCTCGTCCTTTGCAAATTGCACTACGTTATTTACACTTCGTTGGGTGTTACCAATTGGACTACCAGATGAATGTTGAGTTATGGTAATGACTTCGGACAATGTACTATCATCAACGAACATAGCTATATCTTGATCATCAGATGCTTCACATATCTGTTCCTGCTCATTAGGTATAGCGACTTGTGGGAGATGGTTAATTTTTAGGATAAATGCTATTGGACCCAGCTTGCTACCCTGTGGGACTCCACCCCTGATCTTTCGCAGGTCTGATTGCTCACCTTGAAATGATGTAAATTGCGATCTGCCATGTAGATAGGACGCAAACCAACCCACTAATGCGGGCCGTACACCGATTCCAGTGAAGGTCTCAAGAAGCTTGTTGTGATCTACAAGATCAAACGCTTTCCGAAAATCAAGAAAAACAATTCTAATAACCTTTCCTGGAGTGTGCATTGCCGAGTGCCATTTATGCAGTAAGTAGATCAAGGCTTGAACTGCAGATGTACCAGGAAGGCCGCCAAACTGGAATTCACTAATTTTTTCCCGAACATCTTCATAAATCCATTTGGTGGCGTATGACTCTTGGACTTTGGACAAGGTACTTGTTAGTGCAATTGGTCTCAGAAGATCTACTGAACAGCAAGGCTTGATCTTTGGTATTCCACACACCTTGGATACTTTCCATATATCCGGGAAGAGCCGACAAGAAAAGGACTCATTAAATATGTGTGTTAGAGGCCCTGCAAAGTATTTTGCAAATAGCTTGATTATTTTTGTGTTAGGGTCAAAGGGACCCACTGCTTTGTTTACTTGAAGGCTGCTTAGCTTGTTCACAACGCTGTCAAACGTAATATATGGTAAGGGTTCATAGGGTCCAACATGAAGCCATTCACTTCTTACTTCTGAAAAGTCGCTAGTGAGGTTAGTAAAAAAATCGTTCATGTGACAAGTGGTCTCTTTCGGGTTTAATGGAGCCTCAGTTGCAGGATTAATGAGAGTAAAGCCTTGTTGTTTCTTTCCAACTATTTTTTTAATGTTTTTCCACCATGTTTTGGGATCTTGGACACGGGCAGGTTTAATCTTTTCGTGGTATAGTTTGTGTTTTTCCTTTCGAATTTCCGAAACGATTTTATTACGCAATGATTTAAAATCGTCAGTTCTTCCCCGCTGATACAATTTGTCTCTTTTGGAAATCATTTGTTTAATTTTTCCAGATATAAACAGTTTATCGTCCTCATGCACTTTATCGCACTCTTGACACTTGAATGTCTTACCCAGATGAGTAGCTCTCGTACGACGAGTTAACAACTCCGCATTTGAGTGAAACTCTTTGAACAAGTACTACAGACATACGCCATCCTAGGATGATAAATACAAGTATAGTTATAAAGTGTCCAACGAAGTTACGAAGGCTAAACAAGAATGCACATGTATAAAGTCATCATTATATTTTAAATGTCAAGATTTCCAATTGATCCCTTTGAAGCTGCATGAATCCAAATCCCGCTAAGCCTAAGAAAATTATTTTTTGTTGATCTCTACAGTGTCAAAATATAATATGAAACTAAGTATTCATAGCTCGAAAACCTTTCCAACCCGTGATAAAATCTCCCCGTTTGCAGTTGTTTAAGACTCGGACCATCCTTTTTTACAAAAGGTTTAAACTTTGAAACACAGTTTAAGGTCTCAGTAACTCACCTCTAGGATTTGTTAACTTCTAAACGAAGTAAATGCAATATTTTTCCCCCGATGAATTCTCGGTATATATTGAACTACGCTGTTTTGCTTGTGGGACCTAATGATGATACCATACGCAGTAATTTGTATAAATAATTAATTTAATAGTCCAGTCAATTTGTGACCAGAGGTCAAAGAAATTGCAGTAGAATTTTTCTCAGTGGTGAAATGTGAGGGAAGGTGTCCCGATTAACATATTAAAAATCCCAAAAAATCCCTTCGGTGGAACATGTTGAAAATCAAGATTTTCTTACTTCTACCTATAGAAAACCATTGTGGACAGAATGTTCAAATTTTGAAATCGTTTTTAGGCAAATGTAACCTACACTATTGGAAAGCTTAACCAAAATTATATTAAGGTTAATTAAACTACAGGGAGCCCAAGCGTTGATCTGTGTTTTAATTGAATTATTTCACTACATTACACTAACATGTCATATAATAATAATAATACTCCTATAGTCGAACATATAATAACAACATATAAGTTGATTTGTATTTGTATGTTTTTTTATTTATTTAATATCTATTATTAGCTTATATAAAAGCACTGCCTTTCGAACCTGACAGCCCGTTCGCAGGATACGCGCGTAGGAGACGCACGGGATTTGAAATAGGAGGCGGCAACAATATAAATACGTCACAAGGGATGAAACTCTTAAAGTTTGTCGTATTATGAACGCCCCGACTTGAGTGGACCGATAATTTATTGCAATGAGTGTCGTGTCGAATAACGCCGTCAACCTTTAGGAATCAATGATATAAACAAGAAAGCAAACTCGACTACAACTCGAGATGAGAAGCCAATTTGTGTCGACCGTAACGGTTTCAATGTTTAAAATTTAAAATGAACTACTTTAGGTCCAGTCAAGTCGGGGCGTTCGTGCTACGAAACGTCGATATTAAAAACTATAGCGCTTTATAAGACTCTAGGGCTTTTATTTCACAAAATTTTTCAATGGCTATGTACTTTAGCCTTAGACATATCATGTAGCCGAATTTCAAGCTAACATTCGTTTTAACAAGCACATACGGCTTCAAAATAAAACATGTTGTAATTTCATCCCTGGTCACATTTCTTATTTCAGTGCGAAATAAAGCGTGTATCCTGCGAACGGGCTGTCAGGTGCGAAAGGCGGTGCTTTTATATATAAGCTAATAATAGATCTTAAATAAACTGAAAAACATACAAGCCATACAAATACGTATTTATGTTGTTATTATATGTTCGACTATAGGAGTATTATTATTATTATATGACATATTAGTGTAATGTAGTGAAATAATTCAATTATTAACACAGATCAACGTTTGGGCTCCCTGTGGTCAGTTTGCCGTTATCAAATTTATGGCATTTTAAATCTTGTATAACTTCGGCTGGATAGGCAAAAGCAAGGTTACCGTTTAATGATCTATATTTTAGTTTTTTCTAAGCTTTCCAATGATGCATGTTATATCCGCAATGGTTTTCTATAGGTAGAAGAAAATCTTGATTTTCACCATGTTCCACCGAAGAGATTTTTGGGGATTTTTAGTATGTTAATCAGGATCGACACCTTCCCTCACATTTTACCACTGAGAAAAATTCTATTGAAATTTCTTTGATCAGGACCATGTACTTATAGTGATTTGACTGGACTATAAGGTATCACACTAACTTTAAAACATCACAATTACTCAAAAATTGTCATAACCTTTCCAACCTGTGAAGAAAACTTCCCGTTTGCGTTTGCACTCGGACCATCCTTTTTACAACAGACGTTTATCCTTTCAAAAGGTTTAGACTATAAAAGCACAGTTTCAAATGCAACTTGCCTCTCGAATTCACAGTTCACAGCTCTAAGAAAACTTCTATTTTGTGAGTTCACTGAGTTGTAACCACCGCTTTACTTTTGCAATCCAATTTCACAACAGAAATATATTTTTTTTTCTACCATTTCTCAGCTTATATGCACCAAACTTGGTTGTTTCGCTTGTGGGACGTAGATAATAATTTTATACGCATGCGCAGTAATGCAATTTACTTAAATAAAGAACCGATCGATCACTCTACTAAAATTCGAATAAGTTAGGAATAACAAACGAGACTTGTCGGTAATCATCAACGCTTGGCTGCATGCATAAATTAGCACACAGATTAACGTTTTGAACAATTTACTTCTCTATGAGTAAAATCAAATTTTACACAAATAAACAGTTGTTTACTTATTACTCAGCTTTTACACTGTTGACACTGCTTTCTCTTCCGCTAGTAAGAGTATACTAGTCAGTATACGTTTTTATCCGGCAAGACTTCCTTGGCTTGCCCTTGTCTTGACTTGTTGAGTCGTTCTACAATGACATCGGCAATACGAACAATAAATTCTCGTTTATTGGTCGCTGGCAACAGAGGCGGTTTTTCGTCCACGCACACAAATTAAAATGTTAAAGATGCGGTAAAGTCCGTTCTGCGCATATATTCTGCGCATCAAAACATTCCATCAGTGGGGGAGCAACCTTTGGAATGTTTTTAATATTTTGCTTTTTCCGATCTTTCTTGAATTGAATCTCTAGTCTGTATTCATTTACAAGCATAACGAACCAGAAAAGTGTTAAAAATTCAGTATAATATATATCTAATCATATTTTACAACTATAGCACTGAGTTCAAAATGTAAACAAAGCGTTTGTTTACATTACGGACTTTGCATCACCTTTAACCACTTAATTTTTTTCTTCATTTTCCGCGATTTAGAGGTTTTTCGTTTACAAGTCTGTCCATCCTTTAATCTTGCATTTCGTAAATAAACATTAAAATCGCCGAAATAAATTTTCCAAACTCTCTTCCATATTGAATTGCTATGGAGTTTGGTTCTTCGATTTGGGTCTGTCGAGGTACACATATTCCTATCTTACTCCACTTTAATCATTTCTTACGTTCCTCCGTGTCCATACCATGTATTTTTTGATCTGCTAACCTCGCTAGGTTTATACTACCACAGCCAAACACAGGACTGTTCCCACGCCTTCGACCCATACTTAGACTTAGTTGTTTGCTCAACGAATTCACAACAATAATGGCTCATTTTTATGTTAGGTATTTTATTACGCCCGGTTTGGCCTTATATGGCACTACGTGGCCCGATCACCCGATTGCTGACCAGACGTCCTAACGTGGTCAAGCCTGATCTTGTCACTCTACACTTTGAATATTGTGTTGTCACTACAAAAAGTCTCTTAAAACCGTGGTCTTTACTTGGCAATATGCATGCACGCTCTCGGTTTTTTTCTCACCGTGCTATTCTTGATCGATCCAACTAGAGCAGATTGCAAAGGACAATTCTCTTACAGTCAATCTACATCAAGCGTTCCTCTATTGAGATTTTCAAACACATTCACTGTCTACCATTTATACCGTGCTCTCAATGAGTCTATTCAATTCAGTTATAATTACTTCCAAATCAAAAGGTATGTCAAATGAAGACATCTCTTGAACTACGTCGCTCATAAAAGTGTCCCGTGTGGGACTTTTTTTGTCCCGGAAGTCCTGGAAACGCTCAAGAAGTCCCACACGGGACACTTTTATGAGCGACGTAGTTCAAGAGATGTCTTCATTTGACATACCTTTTGATTTGGAAGTAATTATAACTGAATTGAATAGACTCATTGAATAAACAGTGAATGTGTTTGAAAATCTGAAAAGAGGAACGCTTGATGTAGATTGACTGTAAGAGAATTGTCCTTTGTAATCTGCTATAATTGGATCGATCAAGAATAGCACGGTAAGAAAAAACCCGAGAGCGTGCATGCATATTGCCAAGTAAAAACCACGGTGTTATTGTTGTGAATTCGTTGAGCAAACAACTAAGTCTAAGTATAGGTCGAACGCGTGGGAACAGTCCTGTGTTTGACTGTGGTAGTATAAACCTAGCGAAGTTAGCAAATCATCTCGATCAAAAAATACATGGTATGGACACGGAGGAACGTAAGAAATGATTAAAGTGGAGTAAGATAGGAATATGTGTACCTCGACAGACCCAAATCGAAGAACCAAACTCCATAGAAATTCAATATGGAAGAGAGTTTGGAAAATTTATTTAGGCGATTTTAATGTTTATTTACGAGATGCAAGATTAAAGGATGGACAGACTTGTAAACGAAAAACCTCTAAATCGCGGGAAATGAAGAAAAAAATGTAATAAGTGGTTAACATTTTAATTTGTGTGCGTGGACGAAAAACCGTCTCTGTTACCAGCGACCAATAAACGAGAATTTATTGTTCGTATTGCCGATGTCATTGTAGAACGACTCAACAAGTTAAGACAAGGCAAGCCAAGAAAGTCTTGCCGGATAAAAACGTATACGGACTATACTCTTACTAGCGGAAGACGGGACAGTTTACCGGAACTAGAAAGCAGTGTCAACAGTGTAAAAGCTGAGTAACAAGTAAACAACTGTTTATTTGTGTAAAATTTGATATTACTCATAGAGAAGTAAATTGTTCAAAACGTTAATCTGTGTGCTAATTTATGCATGCAGCCAAGCGTTGATGATTACCGACAAGTCTCGTTTGTTATTCCTAACTTATTCGAATTTTAGTAGAGTGATCGATCGGTTCTTTATTTAAGTAAATTGCATTACTGCGCATGCGTATAAAATTATTATCTACGTCCCACAAGCGAAACAACCAAGTTTGGTGCATATAAGCTGAGAAATGGTAGAAAAAAAAAAATATTTCTGTTGTGAAATTGGATTGAACTGTGAATAGCTGTTATCGTAATTGAATACGCCGCTGCGGCGAACCAGCGGTATCTCAGTGGAAGTACGCACGAAAACGAGGCTAAAGCATAGATTAAGGAATGAATAGATGGCTCACTCCTTTGATGTTTTTGACGCTGCCGGCGCCCACGCATGTTCTTGCCAGAGTAATGGCGGCCTAGCAAGTAACTGTAGTAAAATGCATTTAGTCTAGGACCTGTATATGAGTTTGTATGCGATTCATTTAGGACAGGTAATCTCAACTGTTTTAGGGTAAAATGACCATGGCGGTCAACATGGCATATGTGCGAAAACCTGAATCCGGGACGAAAGTCCTGAAAATGACCCGCCCTGAAACGGCAGTGTCGACATAGCTCTAACTTCCAAAAAGGAAAAGCGATAGCCTTTCTGAAGTGCTTATAGTGTTTAGAAGGGTTGCTTTTAGGGGTGGTCATTGGAAGGAAAAATTTGTCTAAGTATAATATTTTACCAGAAATGACTATGCACCACCCCAGGTAAATTGCTGATTATGCACAAAATAACTAATATGCCTGGCAGAAATTAAATATTCTTATTTCCTAAAAAGAAATATCATGGGGTGAAAAACTATGCTTAATTTAATATAAATATTGTTGATTTCATAAGGATTGTCATTGTTTTCTTTAAATATAATACATTTTATTTCACTTACCCCCCACGAAAACACGATTTCAGCCATATTTTGCCGTCTTGTTTGCTTTTTATCGCCGAATCTCGCAAATATCATCCAGTTATTGTAATTTTACATAATCATAAATGGCTGAAGAAGATTTCAAAGAAGGTTTCATCCACTTTTGTAACAGTGCAGTGTATTTTACCTTCGATATTGTGTCCTTCGATATTCCACCAAATTGCCGCCATTTTAATGGCTCGCCGCTTCTCTGTCTGATAATGCAACTTCTTCGTTTCCATATGTATTTAG